GCCGCTGCTCCTTTAGTATACGATATCAGCAAAGAAAGCCTCTCATCTTCCAACACGTCTCCTAATCTACAACAATTATACATTCGAAATGTTCGACCCCAGTGACTCTGATCAACCAGCCGCGGCCAGGGTCTTTGTTATCTGGCTGTTTATTGTAGGCAGCTTATAGCGGTTGCCCCCTTTTTGCTTCTGCTTTTTCCACCTCAGTAAGTAGTTCGCCCTTGAGTAGTTCGCACCTATGACAATGCAGGATTCAGACGAAGTAAAAGATATGGTGAACACTGAAAAGCAGCTGTGTAGGTACCTCCTCCCAAAAGCCGCATGTGCCACCAACACCCAGACTCAGACTGTCTGGTATGGACTGACAGCTGTTCAAGCCACTATTGATGAATGGGGTCGTGTGATAGTAGTGTTTCAGCAGTAGCTGGACTGCGTCTGATTGGTGGTCAGAGGAGCAAGAGGAAGATGATATCGCTTTACGTCAGACGGTCACTATGTCTGAGTCTGGACTTGGTTTTACATGGCGTAGAAGCTGTTCATTGCTCGAATCAAGATCGCCTGTTCTATTTGCTGAAATAAAGTATTTCATATATCTCTTTGGTTGTGAATGCTCCTTCATTTGTTTTTTTTTCTAAAAAAGAAAAATGTTTACGTATCTGTTTATGTATCTAATCGTCAAAAATGGAAACGAGCGGGAGAGAACTGTCGGGTATTAGTACCCTTCTTCCCACATAAGACTCGTCGAATCTTCAACCCCCGCCTCAGACCCAGCTTCAGCTTCATTCCCATAAATATCGCACAATGCTTCCAAAGCATCCTTAAAATCTTCCCAATTTTCTTCCAGGTGCAGCTCGCCATACTCGTCCACACCTCCATACTCCCAGCGCAGCGGCGGGCCACAGGTCCCGGACCCAATGTGGGACTCGATAAATATGCGAACACATCCCCTGGCAGCGAGAACACCACCCATTCGCCTGCGGCAAAGAGCTGGGTTCTTTAGCCAGCGGTTCTGCCATACTCCCTGCAGAATTTGCAAGGCCAGCGCCCAATTATCGGCAACGAGCTCTGGGTACTCCACATTCTCAAGCAGTATGACCGCAATCCAGGTCGCGGAGAGTTTACCGATGCCGGGCAGCTTCTTCTGCTCGGTGAACATGGGGATACGATGGCTATCGTCTGCAGGCTGTGCCATGGTTGTGGAACGTTTTCTGGACTATTTGGAACTTGACTTTGAAGGCGTCGAGTTTGTCCAAGGATGATAGACATGTGGTCTGATAATCTTCTCTGGGATTCAGATGTAGTACCTCAATTTATATCTTCTGTCTGGCGTAGACAGGTATGACCTTCACTCGAGTTTAGTACAAAGACCATTGGTCGGTTGAGGGAAACTTTCCCTGCATGAGACTTGCAGATAAAGGCTTATCTATTGAAGAGTTCCATGTTGCGTAAGTGAACAAACGATGGAATACAATCGTGAAGAATATCGGTAAAGGATATGCTTTGAATGCCTCGCTGGGAGACTTTCATCGAGTTTTCACGGCATGGGTTGGTAGAGTGAAAAAAGAACACGTCTTTTGTGCTAGTACAGGACAAGGAATCTTGAAGGAATATGAAGCTAGGATTGATGCTGACGAGCCTTGAAGGATGCAGTCTGCCGCAAGGGTGGCAGCAAAATGACCGGGAACGCCGCTCACTAACGTATAAACAATATGGAAGCTACAGCACAAGCTATTTACTCCACCAGGAGTATGCATCAATCAAAGGGATTTATTTATATCATGAGAATGAAAGTTCTTTTAAAATACAATCTAGGGCAAAAAGAGGTTAATCATTGCTAATGCAGGGCTTGATTCTAGCCCACTCTTTGTTCCTGTTTCTTAGCTTTCTCAGGTCAAAACCCCGAGCCACACGCCCCCTAATGATGTGTGAGTTAAAGTGTGGAATGTGACTCGGTCTCAGACACCTCAGACTCCTCAGACTCGTCCTCGAAGAGGATCTGGAATTCGAGCGACCCCCGCGAGAATTGTGAAAAGTCCATGGTTTTGGTGCACCACTCGCTCCGGCCCAGATAGCCCTAGCTCTCGGGTTGGCCGTCCATCTTGGGAGACTCAACGCACATTCGAACGCCGTCTCAGCAGTTGAGGACTCCGCCCAACTCTTTCCCGCGAAGCTGTGGGTGGGCTTGCCGCTGGAGCTGCCATTTCTTGCGAAGCCCGATCAGCCCAAGATTAGAAGCCTAGAAACTACCTAGGTATGAAATAACTAGGTCGACAAAACGCACATGCTTAATAATTCGATCTCGCGGTTGTTAGGATATTCCATGGAAGCCAGTTTACACATAGTCTATAAGAAGAAAACCCATATCTAACGAATTGGACACAGGCCCCTATGATCTCGTTATATCGCGAGGTGACCGTAACGTTAGCCGCCATGGCGTTCTGTACCCTGGCCTGCTACGCCGGCTCGGGCCGCCGGATCACCTTCCACCCGTCTGATTCTCGGAGATGGAGAGCGCCGGTCCCGCCGGAACGGCTGTGTTTAGCCGAATGGACGGGAACTGGTTCATATTCTCTCGTCCGCTGTACATATCTAGGTAACTATTTCTGTTGGTACCTGAGCTGCTTCTCTAGACACCACAGTAGTATTGTCGTTATGCTCATTCCCGAGAGATCTCTATCACAACTTTCTGAGCCGACACTCCCTGGCGCAAAATATCTATTCCTTCTTGAACCTTCTCCAGCCCACCAGGCACAATACGAGGGTCCGGTTTCGCCTGGAACTTCCCCGCTGCTAACGCTTCAGGGATGAATTTTCGCCACACTGCATTGCCCACGTCCAAATCCACCATCCCCGGATCTAAACCGTTAACTGGCATAACATCTGTCAGCATATTCACCGATTGTGATGTAGCAAAAGAAAGGAAAGGAATCAGCAGACTCACCAAAAACTGCCCTCACGTTCTCCGGCAGCCCGCCCTGCGGCCATAGCATCACCGGGAGCGTTCCTCCCCCTATCCTCCCCAGAATCTGACCGCATTTCGCCTGAGTATCTGTACTCCCGATGCAGTCCACAACATAATCTCCCTGCCTCACAAGACTGGCAATCTGATCAACCACGTCAGGGTCTCGGTGATCGAAGGCCTGCGAAGCGCCAAGACTCCGGACAAGATCGTGGTTGGCTTCGCTGGCGGTAGCCAGCACTTCGAGTCCCGACGCGACCGCCAGTTGGATGGCCGAGCTGCCGACCGATGAACTCCCGCCCCAGAGGACAATGCGCTTGCCCGTGCTCTTCGGACTCAGGGAAGGAAAAGGCAGATCCAGCTGCACGTAGAGAGCACTGGCAGCGGTGGACACCGACAGAGGCAGCACGGCCGCGTTGGCGAGAGGCAGGGAGTCTGGAACCTCCGCGACGAGAATCTCCCGCACGGTGGTGTAGAGCTGAAAGCCTGCGTTGGTGGCTTTACGCGTGAGCAATGAGTCGCAGTGTCTTATCATTCGAATGGATCAGTATTCGTTTTAAAGCCGCTGCGAGATATGCCCTTTTTCTGTTCGAGAAAAGCGGGACTTGAATTGAACGCACCCAATTACTCTCTGCCCGACTTTGAATTGCGTGACCTCGGAGCCAAGCTGCACAATGGTTCCTGCGACATCGTTGCCCCAGATGAATGGGTACTCGAGCTCGAAGTACGGGGTGTCTTGCATCTATGTGGTCGAAATGGCTAGAGTGAACGCTATTCTCCAAAGATACCTGTTATCCTCCACGGCGGCTTGCTCACCTTCCAATCGGTCGGATTGACCGCTGCGTAGGCTACTTTGATCACCACTTCATGTTCATTAGGGCTAGGAATTGGCCCTGGACCGACTCGGAGGGATCTGGTGCGAGCCTTGGGCTGCCATGCGGCTTGGTTGAGTAAGGAAGTCATTGTTATCAGGTAAGGCGTATCTAAGTAGATAATTGAATGATCAATGAAATTTGAAATGAACTTTGTGTACATACAGACGTTGAATCAGGTGCCTTATATATTAGTGCCTTGATATGCTGGAATTTTGGCGTTGGTAATCCTATACCGCAATGCGAATGTTGATTAATCACGGAAGGATGTTGATCGCTAAGCATGGCAGGTTGATTTGTCAGGCACACACCAAGGTGAGATCTGTTCACAACTGTGAAAATGGTATTGGCGCCCACAGATGAGCTATTTAGTGGTTCTATGTCGGAACTATGAGAGGCGGGCCACAACAAGGGCTGCATGCTTATCCTAGTGGTATGGGACGGAACCGACGACTACCGTCAATTGGACGATCCGACCTACAACCTTAAATGCAATGCCCATTATGTACAATTTAACACAGTAAGGAACATGCAATCATTTAAGCTGGATAGGAACGGAACAGCCTTAATGGCACATATGTACCCGATACTCATGCGATCCAAGGTTCCTAGCGGGTGAGGGCGCTATCGACCACGAGTGAATCTAGGCCAAGTGCGGTAAGAAGCCGGACGTGACTCCGCTGGTCTAATTATTGTGTATCATTACCGAGGAAGTTATTTTCGACAAGTTGGGCATAGGTTGAATGGTGTCAGGTTAGAGTTGTATGTAACCTCACAAGGGCAAGTCCGCAATCCGGAAGCGCCAGGAATTGGAGGATTCCAAGGCTGAGCGGAAAACCATGAAATTGGAGTCGACTGGTCAACTCAAAGGAACCAGTGGCTTCATGTGACGAAACGCCGGGCAACTATAAGAAGAAAGAAGGAAAGAACATGTAGAGCCTTGAAGTCAAAAATCAAAAGAGAATCGGGTTTCCGATGCCCTAAACACAAGTTGTTCCGAATGCCGATTAATCTACCCTCAAACCGCCAAAAGCCACACTTCACTGACGCCCGAGATAGATAAGAGATTTACCGACTGCGAAGTCCTTCTTGCGACAAAACTCACTGAAGTATAACATTCTGTGCAGCCAGGAATACCCAGTCACCCCCTTGATGTCTATAACGACAAACTACTCCACCCTCGCCTCCCCCTGAAACCTCAACGTCTCCGTCTCCCGCTTTCCTCCCTGCCTCCCACCACCTTCAACATTCTCCACCTCGTCAACAACCCCAGAAATGCCTTTCTCTTCATCCCCTACCACCGACTGTCGAGGAGCAACCCTTCCGATGGATGGAGCACCCACCAAAACCCGCCATAGAGCCTTTCCCGCCAGGCCCAGCACATACCACCCCAACCCTAACCACGCCAGACCCAATAAGACCTCAAACCACCACGTGAGCATCCACTGCACCGCCGTGTCCGGGTTAATCCCCCCCCCTCCCTCGATCATCCTCTCGTAAATCAACGCCATATTCCGCGTCATCTCGGGCGGCCACATGTCGGCCAGATCCTCCCTCCCGGTGGGCGAGGCCACGGTCCAGGCGCGGAGTCCCAATTCGCGGGCGTCAGTGGTGGTAGTCATGGTCGGATCCAAGCCAAGGACGACAAACAGGAACAGCACAAGGAGAACATGCCGAGCGTGCATAGTAGGACGCCCGCGGAGAGGAGGTCGCGAGGCCGGATTGCGTTGCAGATCAGAAACAGAAAGACGGATTTGCGGGGGTGTTTGCTCATGGGCCCCTGGAGGAGGTTGGCGATATAATTTATGAGTCTGGTGGTAGTGGTGGTACAGTGGTGGTGGTCGAGGGAATGGTTGCTGTTTGTCTTTGAGGTGGTGGGGTGGGAGTAATTCGGGCGGAGGTGGACAATCAACCGGCACACAAGAAAGATGAGAAGGCTTGACGAGGCCAGGCGATGGGCCATACTGGGGGTGGCGCCGGGGCTGAAGTTGGTGGCTACCATCAGACTGAACAGATGAAATATCCAGCAGGCGGGGATGATGGCGGAGAGAGCTCTATGGGCCTTTTTGAGGCGGTGGACTATCATCCTTACTGATATTGCTGCTTATCATCTGTGTGGATAAGGAATGTGTGAGGTTGAGATTTCGAATTTATGGTATTCAAGCAGATATACTGATTATTTTTAATCCAGGTGAGTTGGTGGCTTTTCAAAAACAGGCAGCCGATTCCCTAACACCAGGCAGAATCATGGATGGAGGGTTGAACTACGGATTTTAGGGTCAAGGTTGCGGGGTCTGCCAAGAGGTCTCGTATACTGACATTCTGAAAACACTGTGACACCCTGCAAAGAGACAGTTTTGGTATATTCTGGGTATTTTAGCAAGCTCAATTTGTGCCACTGAGCATCCGTCATCATTCGATTTGAAGTTTCCAGCTTGATTTTTGAGCGTACTGTTGCTCCTCAGACAATGCAACAATGCAGTTGTCCCCTGGATTTATATAACCTAGCCACGGGGTAGATGGTCAACAAAGTGCCTTACAGAGGCACTTCAATCAGTTTTGCTATGGGTAGATTCCTATAGTGTAGCTCAATAGAAAGAAGAGTCTTCTCTTCTGCCCAAAGCTCTTTTCATGTTACTGTATGATTGATCTACATGCATCCCAATATCCGAGATCGACAAGTGGTCCGGAAGATGGCAGTTGTCATTGACTGGCAACTAATGTTTGGGTGACACATTTGCGAGTAGCTCAAACATCAATTGGGGCTGTGGTTTAGTGGTATAATATTCCCTTAGCATGGGAGAGGTCCGGGGTTCGATTCCCCGCAGCTCCATATTTTTGGTTTTTTCTTTTGTTGGCCTCATTCGCATCCACACAGTTGATTGCTGTTCATCGTCCGGCACGGGTAAGGTTGAGGACCCGCAAGCCCTAACCCGGCCATAGGTTTGGGAATGGTTTACCGCGGACAGCATACTCCCTCGCGAGACCATGGTACTGCCGAAGAGACGAGTAGCATCTTTCAAATCCGTCAAGCACAGTCACATGTGGGGAGGGCAGTTCCCGCATCGTACTGCTTCCCCTGAGCCGGTGGAACAAGAGACGACCCGTCTCGCCGAAAATCGCGACGTTCACCGAGAATGTCTCTGCCCACATCCTCATTGCGGAAGGATTCATTTCTCGTTAATGCGCAGGGGACAGAGAGGATTTCGAGATTCAGTCCTTGGTAGGCGACGCGAGGCCTGTCACCACTCATATCACAGCCCGAGGAGAAATGGTTGTTATGGACATGCTAAAAGATGAGGAACATGGCTGACCTAAGCTCAGTGGAAACACGTCTCGCCCTAATGCTATTCCCTGAAAGAAAGTCCATTACTATGCTCCGAAGGCACTGCACGATCTGGGCTTCTAACCTTCACATTCGTGTCCGTCCTGTCATAAGACAGCACCAAGCGTACTTGCGTGGGACGACCAGAAGATGCGTCTGCAGTCGACAGGCTCGTCTTCGTGACACAATCTGTGTCTGGTTCATTTAGTCTCCAGATTTGAATGTCATCAATGGAGCTTAGTGTCTACTACAAACATGGTGGCTGCGTTGAGTGCTTTGACTGGGGGTTGCATAGGTGTAGGTGGTTAAAAATACCTAAAGATAAGATATGTTAGTCATAGTTGCCGGACTTGCGGAGGTCAGTATACTCACACTGCTCATAGGCAAGTCGCAAGTCAACTGGGATCAGGATGAAGATATGATATTGAAGCCCCCGCCCAGCTCTACCCGCGTAATCAACTCTAAGCCAACAGCAATAGCAGAAATTCCCGTCAACAGGTATCGAGAACACCGCTCCTCGGCAGGTCCACGTCTAGGTGTCCTTTTCGTTTGGGGCTTCCTAAGCCCAGTCCAGCCATTTCTATAGCACAGTCCAACCATCGACAGTCGTCCAAACATTCAAATCACGATCCGAATGATTAGAAATTATACCGCCTCTGAGTAAATCCACATCGATCGGGGCATGGATAGCGCACTAGGCCGAGAAAGATGCACATCTAGACTCAGAGTTTGCTCACACGTTAGCCTCAGCCGGTGTTGTGTTGCGCTTTGTAATAGGGCTGGATAATTACAGTCGTTGATCAGGGATAGTCTTAGGCCACGATCCTAGGGACACCAAGAACACCAGGAGAGCCACAAAGGTCGTCAAGAACAGATGGAAGTCGTAAGGCTCTGAGAGCTTGGTTGGTGGAAGACGGTTAGGGAAGGTTGAAAGTCTCTGCTTTGCGACGTTCATGTGCACGAAGTACTTCGGATGGTTGAAGAGTACAGGGAGGAAATGGCGGCTGGAACTCTGCTTCTGTCTTTATTTTCTGTGAGTCCGATATGGTGATACTATGGGTAAATATTCACACACTGGCTATCAAACTGCCCCTTTGCGTCATTGGTATACGGCAGTCGACAGGGTCTGCAGTGATGATTGACTCTACAGAGACTTTCGAAGCGTGAGAGGGAAGATGCGAGTTGGGGTTAATGTAAACACTAGCTTTTACGCCCGCATATATCTAGTTACAACTAATAGAATTGCCCTGTATCGCAACAATTTCCAAAGCTAGCAAAGTCAAGCCCAGTCCCCACCCTGGCAGACTTTGAGCACTTTACATCCCAGGAGCGTTATCATTTAGCCACCTCCTAAGGATTTAGGCCGTCGTAATCTGGCCCATGCCTTCTCAACCAAAGCTCGAACTGAGATCCGCCACTCCACGAGAATCACGCACACCGCCAGCAAGGGCACCGTGACGGCCACCCAAATCCAGATATCCAGGGGCCCTTGTCCAAACTGCTTGAAGTTCATCCCGAACACCGAGGTGACAAATGAGGTCGGCAGGAAGATGAAAGTCAAACGGTTGGTCAGCTTGTTCAGCTGCCCGACCAGCCGCGATTCCTCCGCCATACGCCTTGATTCAGCGATGGAGAAGTTGCCCATGATCGTCGCCTTCCCACTGTCGCACAGCTCAATTAATACCTGAGCCTCTGCGGCGAGGAAGTCCAGGTCGCGCCGCTTCAGGGTCAACATTCTTTCTCGTGAGGGGGACATCCCATGGGATCGTGGAGCGAGGGGGCTGCCAGGACAGTCAGGGCCCAGCGCCTGGCACAGTGTGCGGAAGTGCGCAGCCCATCGGACCAGGATGGCCTTCGTATACTCGAAGTTTGAGATATCTTCCATGTTCAATGAGGCCACGTCTATGGTTTGATTGCGATGCATGGCCTGCGTGATGTCCTTGCGCAGCATGTTCAGGTACTGCATCGCCGCGACGGACTGGAACGCCAACAGCTCCTCGAGTGCGAGGACAGGGTCCTGCTGCACGGCACTCCACTCGAGCGTGTGTCCATAGTCAGTAGCCAAGACCGATAAGGCCTGCACGCTGCTCTCTAGACTGCCAGGGGCTATGCTCCTCGAGCGCGGTGGTTGGGTGTCAAGATGCTTCTCGAAGAACACCGGGCAGCACTCGAGAGCACCGACCACGTTCCGAAAAGCGTTCACTTCAGGGACTGGAATGTAGTTCGAGATGTCATCGCTGGCTGCATCGCTCCACACTATGACTGGGAGTCTCACACTATTCGTAAGCTTCCAGCTTCTCAATATTTCACACGCACACAAGACGTGGTTAGTGTGGTCCCTTACTCTTCGATGCTTCGCCGTCTGTCCGCACACAGACGGTAATGGCATGCTCCAGCACCATCGCCTCGCCACTATGAATGTTGACCCCGCGCACAATTGTCTGACCCGCAGGAGTGCCTGTCCGCCCGAAAAAGCTCTTGGACTTTTGTCGCAGCAGCTCCGCACATGCAAAGCGAGCCTGCTGGAGATCTTCCGCCGGAACAAACCGACCCTCATGCCCAGTGAATACGATGCATGGCACCACGATCTGAATAAACTGCTGGGATCGGGAAGGTACACTGGGAATCGCGTACCAGTCTCTCTGCCCGGTCGGCAAGAAGTCGAGATGCCTGTGTAAGAATCGATGATCGATTCCGTATCGCGTCACTACCGCGTTTAGCCACTGCGGGGAAGGATATCCGGTGAGGAAGACGAGCTCAGCCTGCTTGTCTTCATCAGCAGATTGGAATTGAGACACCTCTTGATATACCCGGGGATTTGGCTGTTCGGGATGGGCAAGAGAGTACGAGTAGAGAAAGACATTGTCGCTCCGCGCAGATGAGACGGCCGCTCGATCGGGAAGATATTGTAGGGAAGGCTTCTGAGAAGGCTGATCGAGATAGCTTGCCAAATGGCTCATGTAGGCGACCGAGTGTAATGAATTGCGATTCAGAGACCGGACTCGTGATCGTAGGAATCGAGCTCCACCGTTGTCAGGAGGTTCGTCGTGTTCGTGCTCCTGCTCAACTGCTGGCAGGTTCGTCATGTCTCCGTGACCAACGTCTCATAAAGTTGTACCGAATTCACGTCTTTGATTGTCCTATGTAGTGACTCTATATCTGGCCAGGGGCGTTTAATTTCTACTGCGAAGTTATTATATGTGTCATAGGACAGCTTGTGTGGCGTTCGCTGCGCCTCGTCGGATCCTGCAGGCGCTCAGATACCCCTCCCTGATAATGTATCCACCAACCAGTTGTGCGAGCACCAGCTCCCTTGCTGCAGACCATCTGCATGAGTTGCAGGGGAGTGTAGTTTATCTTGCGCGAGATTGGCCCTCAAGTATGCTTTGTCGAAGGCACAGCCTCGTCATTCGAGACAAGGCTGACACCGAATCTCCTCCACACAATTGCTGTGCCTCGTGCAACACCCAGCCGTAAGCCTCCCAGGCAGCATCGACAGAAAAGCGTACCTCTCTTTGTGACACGTTCTCCCCCTCGGGCGAAAAAGCGAAAAGGAAAAAGGGAACCGAATTGCTTTTATGGCTGGCCCTGCCTGAGACCAGGAGGGCTCCTTCCTAGTTCTATGGGTCAGAATGGGACGATTCCGAAGGCATTATTCCGCGGAGCCTGACGACCATCCAAAGACGATGTAAGTCAATGTAGTGTGTTAGTTTCTTATCCAGGATGCATGATGATAATTCCGGTGAGCCGGTGCAAGTTCAAGGGACTCTGCTGATGTGTCCCTGAAAGCGTCGTCGTGGTCCCGGGGCTCGATGCAGATTCCCTGGCCGAACAAACATGCCCACACTTCATGGAATGGATCCAGCACTGCTTCGCAGCACTCAAGCCTTCACTGGAAGTTTGGATCTACTGGCATGGTATCAAAGTTCAATCTGTCCAGTCGTGGGAATTGGTCTGCGAGGCTGGGAAAGAACTGTACCATGAGCTCGTTGCACTCTGCAAGGATCGAGTCAAGGTATGATCTTTCTGCTTCCGCTAATGGCAAGGCTTTCGTGATGCTCATCATCAAATATCTCGAGAATCTAGTCGCCCGACTGTAACCTCATCACAATAGGTTATCGCCTGGGTGCTTTTGTTCTCAAGAAGGTATGTAAATGCTTGTGCCTCCTTCGACGCACGTCGACTTTGACAATTCACTTATGTGATAAAACAACGAACGACAGGCTATAATCGAGGCGCATCCCAGAAGACATCATGATGGGGAATCCAACCTATTTGACTGTCTCGAAACCCTAGTTATGATCGGGGACCCGATTTTGAAAGATGCCAACCGCGAGCAATGGCCAATCCTCGTCCAAAAGTTCCTCCTACTTTCCTCCAATCAAGCCCCACTGCAGATATGCAGTCAACAAGCGTTGTGCTGCCTCAAAGCCATCTCCGATCGGTTCGAAGAGATAACTCTCCACTCGCGTCTGTTCCACATCTCGTCTGCCACAGTCAAGGCCAAGTCGTTCTTCCGCCTGCGGACTCGCACGGGGGCACGCTACGAAGGCTGCGTGTGCGATGCAAGTGTCACCGTGCGAAAGTGGACAACGGCTGATGTGGACGAGAATCTGTCGGAAGATGAGGGGGAGCAGAAGCGGTGTGTATTTCATCATCAGAGTCGGTATCGTCTGAAGCTCGACATGATTGCGGCGAATGAGTGGGAGCCTCGACCTAAGATCAGGGATAACGATGCTGGGGAACGTGATGGAAAGAAGGAAGATATGTCTTCATCGACGGAGGACTCGCATGTGTGCCCCGTGACTCCAATGCAGGAGCGCTTGGCCACTGAGAATGCCACTACCGGTGCCACTTTCGAAGGACTGCATGTGTACCCTTCATCCGACAGCCCTAAAGGGATAGCACACGCGGTGCCTCACCCATCGAGCTGTGAATGCGACACACATCAGCCCATAGAATCCCCACCTACCAAGACATTGCAGTCGGCGATCCTCATCGGAAAATCAGCGCATTCATCCACAGTTCGACCAGGCGAAGAAGTAGATATTCGTCGCGCAGCACCGGCGACCTCATATGCCCAGGTCAGCTACAGTCATTCTGCTGGCGAAAAGACAGGCACAATGGCTCCCAATCACACAGATGCCAGTCCGGAGCCCCCGAATGCCGCCCATAATGCTAGAGATGAAGATCATAGCAACAGCAACGGCAATAACGGGGTTCCAGGTGAGACGCCCGTTGTAAGTACCGGTCGGCCTCTGCCATCGCAGATTCGATTGCCCAACCGAGCTCCCAATTTCTGCGGACGGCAGGATACCCTGGAATCTCTGCGAGCATACTTCCAGGATCAAGCAGGAACGACACCACAGATGACGATGATTCCAAGACAGAGAGCAGCCATTCTGACGGGTACGCCGGGCATTGGCAAGACGGCTGTTGCCCGTGAGTACGTTCACCATCATGGCCGGCATTTCAGTTCAATTATGTGGGTACAGGCTAGCCATCGACAGAGTATCGCACAGTCCTTCCATGAGATTGCTTACGCTCTGGAACTGTTAGAGAGCCACAAGAAACATAGTCACTTGCAAAGCCATGCGAGACTCACGTCATGGTTGCAAGAAAACAAGTCGGAATGGCTGTTGATCTTCGATGATGCTGATGATCTGGAAGTCCTACAGGCGTATATACCACGCTGTGATCATGGAAATATTCTCGTCACTAGTCGATCACCGGACCTCGATATCCTTCGAAGGAGCTCTCCAGTGGAATTCTTTGTGAACCCACTCAGCGAGGAGGAAGGGAGCGAATTGGTCCATACCATCACAGGCCTCCCTCGGGAACAAGTCCAGGATCTCGGTCTCGTGCGTTTGCTCGGGGGCAACCCGCTTGCAGTGAGCATGGTTGGCAAAGCACTACAGAACGAGGCTCAATTTCACTCCAGCCGACGTAATGACCTCGAGGGTGGCGTTACAGATAGTCTGAGTAATTATCCTGGGCTGATGCGCCTACGCAAGCAATATCGGCTCCACTCCACGTCAACCACGCTGCTGACGGCCTGTCTGAATATTGATCAACTCTCCCCCGAAGCAAAAGGCTTGTGCAGTGTGATCTCCTACCTAGATCCCTATGACACCCCCGAGTCGACCCTGCTTCAGGCGCAACGATGCAGCCCAATTATCCGAGGCTTTCCGATCACAGATGAGAGCTTCCACCGGGCCCGAATCGAGTCCCTGAAAAGTGGACTTTGCTCGTCCGCGAGCTCCCGTTCATCGATACAAATGCACCGAGTGGTACAATCTACCTTGCGACAATATCTGACCAGTACTCAGGAGCAGGTGCATGCATTCACCACGGCGGTGCAACTGCTGCTTGCGCAGTGGCCCTCCAAGCGGAAGTTCAAAAATGTTGTGTTTGGCTACTGGCCCGAGTTCTCGCGCATCCACACCCAATGCCACCGCCTGTCGGAGGTTGCCTCTGCAACCCTAACAAGCCCGGAGCACTATACGCCCTTTATCAAGCTCATCCTCTTATGTGCTTGGTGAGTTGGCGAGATCCTAACTGCCCTGTTAGTATTTACTAACTTTCTTCATGTGGAACAGGTATAACTCTCATGTCTTGAAAAATGCCGAAGAGGATCTGGACTTGGTCGCGTTGGCCCACAATTTATTGGCGACCCAGCACACTGAGAAGGGACTTCCTTCCGCGACGACAAGGGAAGATGATATCCAGCGACCACAACGACTCGTGCTTATCGACGATAACACCGCTGGCTGGAAAGTGATTGATACCCCGGGCAAGCCCGCCTCCTACGTTGCGCTGAGCTACAGCTGGACCGACCAGAACGGCGATCACCAATCCATCCCAGTGACGCTCACCAGATCCACATTTCAAGTCTGCAGCAATGGGGGACGCGTGGCTGACCTCCCACTTCTCTACCGCGATGCATGCGAGATTGCCACGTCGCTCGGTATTCGCTACCTTTGGATCGATGGCCTTTGCGTCATTCAAGATGACCCCGTCGACCGCGAGGTCGAGCTGTCAAAGATCGCCGGGATCTACCGCAATGCCTCGGCCACGATCACGCGACAATACATTCCAGCAGAGCCGCCCATAAAGCTCCCGGGTGTTTCTGGCTGCGATCAGATGCTGATCGAGCCTTACTCCGTTTTATGTAATCGCTGTGCTTCGTCTTCCGGAAAAGGAACGAAGTTTCCTGGCGTTGCCATGGTTCATCCAAAGGTGCGGGACTTCTTGAAAGGGTATACCTCGGGGCTGATGGGGCTGGAAACTGAGACCGGCCCATTCAAGGTTGAGATCATCTGGCTGCCAGGTGTGGTGGCGGAAGAGCAGCAATCACCGGGCAAAGAAAAGACCGAGGACGACAATGATATGGATGATGGTGGTTTAGATGACTCACAGGCTTCAGGATCATTGAGCCCCGGCTGTGAGTTGGCGGGGTCCAAGGCGCTGCAGAGAGGAACGGAATTAGCAGAGGAGCAGCAAAACGCGGCCGTTGGAGGATCAAAGCCACTAGCAATTAGCTTGATCAATCCTAGCACACTTCCCACAGAGATAATGCTTGAAGCAGAGCCCGTCGAGCCGAAATATCATCAAGTTGACCCTAGGCTGCAGGAGGGGGATGACATCCGGGCACCAATATCGGACTCCGTCCAGGTGCAGCAGCTCATCACCACCGCAACCGAAGTGGCTGAGAATGGACTTCGTGTGTACGCGGCACAGACGATGGAAAGTTCCTTCCGCGCGCTCGCCGCGATCGTTCGAGCGCGTGATCAAGTCAGTGCTTTTTGTGAGAGATCATCCAAGGCCCTTACCAGCTACATTGTGTTCAGCACATATCTCGCCCGGATTCTGATCCAGCAGGGCTGTGCCCAGGAGGCTGTCGATCTGCTTTGCGACTTAGCGGCAAAGTCCGACGACATAGAAACGAGGATAGAGTCTAAAGTTGATGTTTGCAGGTAAGCTTTCCCAACTGCCCAGATCGATCTGTAACAGGGGATGCAATTAACGCAGGCTCCGCTCCTCAAGCATGAGTAGATTTCATTTTGCCAGAGGCGACGCGGAATTTGCCTTGTCGCGGCATCGAGAGGCGAAGTATTCCTATGGCTTAGCACTAGCAGCACTTGAGGGTGAGAAAATAGTTAGACTAGGGAACCAGACGGTCGATGAAGAAGCCAATCTCGTTGCCCTGGCACACTTGAAGCTGGCCGACGTGTACATGAAAGAAGAGAATTTTGGATTAGCACAGTGAGTATCCCCACCTTAGTATATTTTCCAAGCTCCTAGATTATCCTGTCATATCATCTGACTTGATTCATCTCATGCTTCTTCCTGTCACAGTGACGCCCTCCGCGAGACAATCACCCACTTCGAAGCCTGCGAATCCAAGGACGGACAGATTCAGTACGCCCGTGGGCTGCATCGACAGTCGCTAGTCTATGGTTTCCAGGGGAATGAACGCCTCCGCAAGGTCAAGTTGGCGGCGGCCAAACAGGCATTGCAGAATGTGTTGGAGCATGACAATGATGACCTCGCCTTGTCCTCCGTTCAAGGTGATGTTAAGGCGGACGTGTTTGAACGATCTCTTCATCTGGGGATGAGATGAAGCTGGCATTTTGCCTGTATATTGTTGTAGACTTTTGATTGATCTCTCGTCTCCCCATATTCCTTTCCGGTTATAAGGTTCCTTATCTTTCATCTAAGCACATACGACCACAGGGTGTGGAAAATAGGGCTTCCCGTCCGCTCAGCCGTACTCAAGCCACACGCCGGGAGGTTAGTAGTTGGGTGGGTGACCACCAGCGAATCCCTTCTGTTGTATGTTTTTTACTTGCACTTTTTATTTAGTCTTTGTCTAATTGTTGTCCATCAGCATAATAATACTGTCTTTGCACTTTTCTGTCTAAAACGGATTTCTCTCCGCTTCTCATAAATATTTATATATATATATATATATATTCAAATGGGACAGCCGAATTTACAATCTTCAAGTGGACTTCCCATGCGCGCTTTCAACAAGTTTTACCACAGTAAAAGCTCCTTCCCTCCCTGTTCCCCTTTCCCACATGCTAGCGCTGAGGTGCAATGCCACGGTACCTCGTACTGCCTTCAGACATTCGCGGCATTAGTTTCATTCGATACTACTAATGCTGTAGAGATATACTTAGTTCGCCTTGCTCACGGTCTTATTAGTTCCTCCTGGCCCCGCCTCTTCCGAAGCGCAGATATGGCTCCGACCAATTATCCTCTAGCAGCTTGGCGCCGTGGCTTTCGAGAGAACTGTCAGCTTACGTTTCCTCCAACTGCCACCTTACCAGGGGAATGCGAGGCTGACTTGGGAATCACTATAAATGGCATCCAGGAAGCCGTTCCCTCCATATCTGCGCTTGCTTCTTTCGCGTACCCTCGAGGCTACCGTGGCGACAGTGAACATATATATAAGCCCATTTCAGGACTTCTCTATTTGATCAGTTCTGCTAGCGATTTAACCCAAGTCGGACAAGATCAGGATGGAGAATCCCCCTCGGCCTTCCACCCCACTACCTCTTTTACTCGCCCCTAGCCCTCCTACCTCACCAGGTCTATCCGAAAGAAAGATTGATGTTGTCAAGAGCGAACGCAAGGACACACCCGCGAGAGCCCTGAAAGCTATAGCTCTCCCTAATACTCCTCCATCTAGCCCTCCGCAGCTTGGTCCAGGGTCGTCAGAGGAGCCAGAATCCCCTTCGCCATTGGGCGTTTTCAGCGTCGCTCAACTGAAGATACGGCTTGGCTTAGAGACAGAAACCCCCAAGTGTGGAGCGATGACTAGAAAAGAACGGGGCTGCCGGAATCCTCGGAGGGCGACCGAGAAGGATGAGCTGGACCAGGCCCTAACTGCGCTCTTAAATCTGACGCAATCATCTCCAGAGCTTCCTCAAAGACTTACGAAATTGGCGTCTCTGGTACACTGCCATATGCATGACTATAGCACAGCGCTCGGGCGCCGAGTCGTGAGCTGGTCCGACCTCTTTCCGTTGGGTGACCTCGATGCAAAAATCTTTTCGGCCATGAAGCGCATTCGTGATGAATTGCCTGAAGCCAGCAAAACCTGTATCGGGATCTCAAGCAAAAAGAAGCAATGCCGGCTGAAACTAAGTGGCAAAACGGTGCAGACTATGTCTCATAGCATTCAGGAGATCCTCAAACCACAGGTCTTCCTGCGCGACGAAGTACTGGAAATCTGGATCCAGCATCTCAGAGAAGCGGCATTCTGTTGCTATCATAAGAACCAGTGCTTAAGCAAAGCTGCTGGTTGGATCAAAGCCATTAAGACCGCCCGGAGCCTTCTAGAATCAAGCCCGCCCCCGCCAGACACGGCAGATGCAACTAATAAAACCACTCCAGATCAACTGGACACTGTGAGTAGCACTCTGCGAGAGATAGCGAAGCATTGGAAAGGTCAGTGTCTTGTTCCTTCCATGATATATATGTGTACAGATCTGCTGATGCCAGGTAGTGACGGGTTACGATACCTCCCCACTTCGAATTCTCTCATCGGAGAGCTGGAACGTGAAAGATTGGTCATCCGAGAAATACCAGGATCGGATTTTAGTTGTGCTTGAGAACTTAGAGGGAGAGGAGAGGAGAGGCTATGTCTATGTCTACGAGATCAAGGGAAATGAAGGCTACGTCAAGGTTGGTTATACCGAGAAGAAAACCGCACAGGAACGGATGAATGAATGGAGTGAAACTTGTAACCGCCAGATCACGGGAATCTACCCTCGTCCTGTTGGCTTGGAAAGACGGATCCATAGTCCAGCACTGGTTGAGATCCTTTGTCACGCGGATCTCAGAACCTGTCGAGTGAGGGTTGACTGCGAAGCATGCTTGCACCCGCACTCGGAATGGTTCCAAACATCTCCTCAAGAAGCAGTTGATGTTGTTGAGAAATGGTCGCGATGGATAGATGAGACTGCTGGGCAGCCAGGGTGGAGAGATGAGATAAAAGCGATAGTACTGGAAAGTGCCGATATGGAGCATTGTTTGGAATCATTGCTTCAGATCAAAATCTGTGATGACTAGGGTTGGAATAAGAGCAAACTGGCGCACAGAAGCTAGAACTTGAATTTGGCTTCAGAGGTCTAGCAGCAACGCCACAAGGCTAATACAAAGGCATCAGTGCTCTGGAGTACTCATGTAAGTTACCCTACATACTCCAGTACTATGTAGTTGAATCCAGTACTGTGACCATGAAACCTTGAACAGCGCCCTACTATCCCTCCAGAGACCGAGTGTCTAGGGTGGGGCTCAGATAAATGATTGCAATGCCTCTTCAGGCCTACAGCCCTTGACTCGGATCCTGGTTCGTCTTCTACAAAGGGTCCAACTTAGCTCTGATTAGCCACAAGTGATTTAGAAGCCTTCAGCCTGAGGGACCAAGACCACCTGCTTCTAAGCCCGATTGCCTCCAATCAACTGTTGCATCCTCGCTCTGCTTCACACTCTCGCACTGCAAGAGATGATATGACTGGAATTTGCACTTTACCCGCCAAAACTCTCTCTGTAATTCTGGTCTATCTACGCCCGGGCGCTTTGGCTTCTTATGCCGGTGTGTGTAGAAAATAGCAAGCGCTGATCGAGAGGCATACCTTCTCCGATCTTCTTCCGACTCCTGACCGGTTGATCGAATTCGGCCGGATTGTCTCCCCAAGGTCACCCCGACGCTGCTTTATTCGTCATCTGGATCTGTGCATCCTGCTTCCTGCCTACGAGGTCGCTGCGCGGACCCGGTTGGAAACCGAAACCGACCGCCAGAAAAACAATGCGGCTTTTACCCAGACCATAGTCTCCCTCTGTTGACCAGCTGACGCAGTAGCTGGTGACGCTCGAGATTGAGAATATCATGAGAGGCAAGCTGTATGGTAGTTCACTTCTCAAGCGCTGTAAATGAGAGGCTTGTGCATTGGTGGCCCGCACCCTTGGCACTATACTCCAGCGGGATTGGATATGTCTGCCCTATGGCTAAATCCGAGGTACCTGGTAGTTATTGATCTACACATTTACTTTTACGAGCATGGCTATCTTCAATACAGTGGCCGCTACTAGCAGTGCTTAACTATCGAACCTACCGTGTTTTTTTGCACCTGCTATGATTTAACAAGTCGAATGAACACACACCATCGAACAGATAATCAGGAACATCCTTAACAGCTTACGATCAGATATCTAGTCTCATTGGCAAAAAGCACGGGTATATAATTGTCAAAGATCCAACTCGCTAAGCTAAACATAGAGTGCAAAATGCTACACTACATAAGGTAATCAAACCCGAACCCTGGGGCGATACGGCAGCCATGTGGTGGATGCCCACGACGGGACGGCTTGCTGGTGGTCGTCTTCGTTGTCGGCGGATGTTGGTGTTGGGGCTCTGGTCGAAGCGCAGGTGCTGTTGGCCGAGGGTGGCGGTGCTAACATTCCTGGATCGATGACCAGAGCCAAATCCCGCTGGTTCGCCAGGGTCCTGATAGAAATCTCTTGGTTGGTGAGAAGGGCCTGACACCGGGGATGTCTGGGGGCTCGATGATTGTTGCAGTTGGGGGAGGGTGTAGGGGCTCTGGATGGAGCGCAGGTGCTTTTTGCTGAGGGCGGTGGTGCCAACATGGGTGAATCGATGACCGGACTCCAGCTCTGCTGGCGTTGCAATGTCCTTATTGTGGTCTCTCGATTGCTGAGCAGGGCATGCTGGTCCGCGAGCAAGGTCTGCTGATCGGTGAGCAAGGTCTTCTGGTCCGCCAGTAGGGCCTGCTGGTTGGCGATCATGACCTTCTGGTCGTCAATAAGAGTCTGTTGTTCTTGAAGCAGGGCCTGCTGGATGCCGAGCAGGGTCTGCTGGTGCTCGCAGATAGGCCAGTTGCGCTGCGCGGGCGTCATCATTCGGTCCTGCTTGGCGTCTATTCTCCGGAGGTAGAGAAGGAAGTCCTGCTCGGCGAGAAAGCGGGTCGACGGAGCGGGATCGATGGACGGCGTGGGTGAGGGTGTGGTGTGGAGGCGCGGCCGGCTTTTGATGGCTCGACGAATTGCCCTTCTCTCCGCTTCCAGCTCCATTTGATAATGGTTTTGAAGCATCTCCTCCGTCATGCGATGATTCTCCGTCTTGTCGGTGAGAGAGCAGTCCGACGGAGAGGGACTGGCCCACCACGCGGAGGAGGAAATAGTGTGCACGTATGCCTCGGTTCTGTGGGCTCGATAGGCCGAGCTTGCATCCTCATCGCACTGATATTGAGAGTTTTGAAGCACCTCATGCGTTAGGCACTCGAGATTTGTCTCCACAATAGAACTCGTGCCTGATGAGCAAGGCGTGGTTGCGGTCGACCGCAGCATGGCTCGGGATCTTGTCGAGTCTTCTTCGGCCGGCCAAAACTGATCCTCGGACAGGTCATCGCTGCAGCGAGAGTAAGCCCGCCCCGTATGAATGAGGTCATTGATGTCGTCGTCGAGGTCTTCATCCTCGTAATGCTCGAGGTTCGAGAACAGGGAGTTTTTCCTGGTGCTGGTCACTGCGGCTGCTGCTACTTCTGTAACTTCGTGCTTCTGCATAGCTGCTATCTCCTCGGTGGCCTTATGCCACATGATGTCTAGCTCTTCCTTGCTGGGATGCTTGAATAGGTCAGAGGAAATATCCATGGGCTGGCTGGGATATTCATCGGCAGGTCTCTTGAGTTGGACGAGTGGTATCAGGCGCGGGGAGACGAGATCATGATTCACAGGGTGTTTTCTCCCCACGCTGAAACGATGCGCATGGGGTGAGGAGGGGAGGGATGGGGTTCTGGAGGCCAAGGTGGCCACAGATGGAACAGGCATCTTTTTAGGTGCTTGCTTAGTTTATCTTGGGTGTTGGTGGTTCTGGTGAGAAGGTTGACTGGGTGGTAGATGATAGAGGATGAAATTGCTGATGTGAGTCGAAACAATGTAATGAGAGAGAGCTGGAGATCAGAAAACTGGGGAAGAGGGTCTCTTGCCACGCGAAGAGTCAGACCATCTATGTCATGATGAGCAGCGTTGCGGCTGAGGACTCGGTAAAGATATCCGCTTGTATGTCATGATGGTATAGGGCTGAGCACGTTTCAAGCATGACAAAGAAGCCATGTGCCAACCTATTCCTAAATTGCAAATCTATAGCGAATAATTACCGCCATCCCTCAAACCCAATTGATCTCACCGAATGCTTTTCCTGCATCACTTACTGATGCCCTATTAGAGATACGAGGACCTTCTCGCGCACATTCCAATTCCAATGGAGTAGCAAAGCCCTTTTCCTACTTCTGTAAGTGGGGTATTCATCAAATTCTTTCCAAGCATCCTTCGAAGTAAGTCAAATAACAAGGTATTGACTATATCTCTTCAGTATCAGTATGACATTTGTCTCAAGTACGTTTTCCATAGTGTTTTGACTTAGTAAATTAATCAAGATATGCAATCTTTTGGAGAATCAAATGGGTATGAACTGTTTGTAGATACCTTCAAGATAATACAACTTATCTCACTACTTCAATTCTATCCAGGCCTTAGGTAGGCGTTGTTACCCTGCCTATTCCCAAAGGACTTTAGAAAGGGCTTTGCTACTCTCCTTACTCAAACATGTACTAAGAGAGACTTTGCATTTCTGCGAGTTTACGAGGGTGTTCAAGAAGGTGTTCAAGAAGCTCATAAGAATGATAAACCCATCAATCCCACCAACAAAGAATGCAGCATTGTGGTAACAATAATAAAAGACCTCGCATTAGAAGAATGGCCGCTCCCATCCACCAAACATAAACAATAAGAATTCCCCCTCCCCCCTTCCGCTTCCTCCTACCCCCATCCCCATCAACACCCCTCCCTCCCCCCCGAAGGCAAAATCTCCCCCGCGCCGCCCAAATCCTCCCCCAAGACCACCCCGCCCACCTCGACCGCCTCGCAATCCTGCAACACGAAGACCATCCTCGTCCACCCCGCCGGCTGGGGATTCCGCCACGCATGCATCGTGCCCCGCTGCACGGCAATGTCGCCCCGCTTGAGGCGCCGCGTCTCCCCGGAGTCCAGCACCATTTCGATCTCCCCCTCCAGCACGATCCCGTAGTCCAGGCTGCGCGTGCGGTGCATCAGCGGCGGCTTGCCGGGGGCGAAGTCCACCACCCGGCACACGGTGCCGCCGGGGTTGACCAGCCCCAGGGTGTTGCTCGCCAGCAGGGCCTCGTGGGCGTGGAGGTCGGCGTCGCCGGTGAGCGTCGCCGGGAAGCGCGAGGTGGTGTAGGCGACGCTGAAGGCGAAGGTGTTGGCTTCGACGGGCGTCCAGGCTCCCTGGGTGGTGGAGTGGATGGTTGCGAGTTGCTGGTCGGAGTGGGTGGTTATGTGGCGGGTGTAGTTGGGGAGGGGGCTGGTTGTTGTGGGGTTTTCTTTGGGGGCGTTGGTCATTTTGGAGGGCGGCTTTGGGTTGGTTGAGTGTTTTTGGGGGCTGGTGGGATGTTCTTCTTGTGGGGTTTGGGATATATTGAGGATTAGGGGGGGAGGTAGTGGAAAGAGGGGGATGAGGGTGTTGGGTTGCACAGGTATACTTGATGTATGGAGGGGAAGCTACGTCTGGGGTTTAGTTCCGCGGGGTCAGGTACCACTTTCCATGATACCTACCCAATTCTCCTCCCGGGTGATCTGCATGATGTGCAGGAGGACAACTGCCAATGGTGGCTGGAGGTGGCTGCATGCTGAGCTCGCGGGGATAAATACCACGCATCTCCTAAACATCGCATTTCTCACCAAAAAAACGAAGAGAAAAGAAAAGGAAAGAAAGATAAAGAGAGAAAAGCCCATCTTCGATACACTATGTGATATTCTAAAAGTAATAAAAGAAGTATTCAATCTTGTCGAAATTTTTCTAGTTAATTCAACACCGTAAAGAATTCGAAATTCTAAGATATGGGGATTTCATAAGGATACTTACTCCAAGAGAGCAGAGGCGGTGGTGATACGTAAATCCAGTCACATTTCAATTATCTCAACTATTTTATCTGTGCTAATCATTCTTTTTGTCATAACCTTACCCATTAATGCAGATGCATAACCTATGCCACAGATGCTGATGCTAATGTGATGTTGTCAAAACATACAGTGAAAACCTCAAATACTCCTCACTCGGCGGCGGAATTCCGTCTCGCGGAACGGGGCCAGCCCGCAGTTCACCCGGTTCTCGTGGACCCGACGGTGCAAGGCGCCCAGCGCCAGAATCTCTGTCGAGTTCGTCGTCTTCGTCACCGCCCCCGACGAGCCATGCGGATTGTAGTAGGTGGCCCCCGCGCCCGTCGACGAGTATCCGCACGACTTGATCACGAAGCTCACCAGGCCGGGCAGATGCGTCATGCGCGACAGCACATGTTGCCACTCGCCCGAGTTCAGCTTGACCTGGTAGAGCTCGATGTGTCGGATGGAGTCCTTGCATTGTTCGACCAGCGACAGCAGCTTGTAGGACGAGATGGACACCCGGCGCAGCTGGATGGATTCCAGGCGGAGGGAGCGGCTGAAAGCAGCCCCGTCCAGATCCAGGGTGTCTGCGCTGGCGATGGCGAGCGACTTCAGATTGCTGGCGTGACGGATCATCTTGTAGAGCCAGTGGGCGTGGGCCTGATTCGACAAGCCGGGGGTGTGTACGGTCGCGGCGGGCGGCGGAGAGGGGGATTCATGTTGCTGTGGCTGCGCGTGCTCGGGGGTGGGGGAGGCGGTGATGCGGAGGCCCAGGTGGTGCAGGCGCTGCAGGACGTGTTCGGTGGAGATGCGCAGGGCGCTGGAGCTGAGGGTCTTGTGGGGGAAGAATTGGGCGAAATCGTGGGTGATGGGGAAGGCAATGTCCAGCTCGGTTAAGTTCGGCAGTGGCACGTAGCGGAGGCTGCTGATGACGGTGTTGACAAAGTCTCGGGTGGTAGCCTCGGGTAACGAGCCCGGAACCCCCTGGAAATCAAGCGCCTTGAGTTTGGGCAGCCGGCACAGGCAGGAGGGCAGCACCCCTGCCAAATCTTCCAGGAACATCGAGCAGAACTCTTCCGAGTGTTCGGTGTCCTCGAGCCCGATGTCTAGTTGGCGCACGTAGTCGGCATAGGGGCCGTGCGAGAGCTCTACGAGGCCTACAAGCGGCGACTCCGAGGTCTTGGACTGAGCGGATTTGGCGACGACGCGAAGGTGTCGAAACAGTCGCGGTGAGGCGCTGCGACAGAAGGCGCGGTTGACCAGGCGTAACGTCGCGAGTTGATGTCGAAGCTCGTCGGATTGAATCTTGTGCTGTCGTGTCGAAGCGGCCCACGGCCGGCTATCGACGTCATCCACAAAGGACACGATCTATGAGGCATTGATTACACTTAGCATTCAGGCGACTCGGCTGAGGTCTCGGCTGAGGTGCACTGCATCACATCACTTACCAGATCGTAAATCTCTTGCGGTGCTTGCATCGTTGCGGTATTACACATCTGTGTTTGTTTGTTCTTATCACATCCCCCAGTACCACGGGGGCATTGGCAGTTAAATATCCGGGGAACAAGAGGTGGAAACGCATTGAACCCCCTTTTTCCTTTTATGCGGGGTATTTGTGGAACAAGTGGAAGAAGTGGAATGCAAACTCGTAAATGGAATAAAGGAGAAGGGGATTATGAGGCATATTCGAATTCTCATTATTCATGCCTAGACCAGTGGCTGTTGGCCTTGCAGCCTGCAGTCTTTTTGAAGACGTAATGAGAATCCCCAAGAGGAAGCTCGTCGTGACCAACGGCGGTGTGGGCCAATAACCGGCCCTGATTCGGCGATGAGACCATCGAATTGTCGATCTGACTCATGGGTCAAGTGACGTGACGCTCAAAACAAGTGCCATGGATGGAGGTCACGGGGAGGAAAAATTTGAGAGAAAAAAGAAAGAAAAAGGAAAAAAAAAAAAAAAAAAAAAAAAGGAAAGAAGAAAAGGAGAAAGGGTTGGGGAAATTTGAAGGGGAAAGAAGATTCAAGGGGTTTCTCTAGATGCTTCATTCTTATCCTTATCCTCCCTTAGTTACCCCGGATTTTCCTGTTGAGCTAGTCTAGTCTATCTAATCTCCTCCCTTCTCTCCTCATTTCCTTCCCTATCTTCTCTCTCTCTCTCTCCCTCCCCCTACTCGGAATCTCTCCCCGCTGATAAGAACTCGGTATCGGATCCCGACCGGATTCTTTTCCCTCCCCCCGCATTCACCATCACTACTTAAGCGACTAATGCGCTCTAATTCCTCCAAAATGAGAATCAGCAAAGTTTCATCATCATCATCATCGTCACCGTCTTTTGAGTCATCCCCGAGTTCCGCAGAATTGAGCCGATTGACGTCAACATGGGCTCCACTTCCAACCCCAACGTGACCGCCCAGCCCCATATCCCTCCAGCGGGTGTCTGGTGTCCAGCCGTGACTTTCTTCGATCACGCGACCGACACCATTGACTTGGTTGCCCAGAAACAATACTATAAATATCTGTCGACGACAGGTCTGGCCGGGCTCGTCATCCTTGGCACCAACTCCGAAGCTTTCCTCCTTACCCGCGAAGAACGATACCAATGCATTGCCGCCGCCCGCGAAGCCGTGGGGCCTGATTTCCCCCTCATGGCTGGCGTGGGCGCCCACTCCACCAAACAAGTCCTCGAGCTCGCCTCCGACGCGGCTGCCGCGGGTGCCAACTACTTGCTGGTGCTGCCCCCAGCATACTTCGGCAAAGCCACCACCCCCGCCGTCGTGAAGCGGTTCTTCGCCGACGTCGCCCGTCAATCCGCCCTCCCCGTCGTGGTGTACAACTTCCCCGGCGTGTGCAATGGGGTGGATCTCGACTCGGAGACCATCACGGCGATTGTCCGGGAGTCTGAGGCGCAGAGTCCCTCGGGCGTCTCGAACGTGGTCGGCGTGAAACTGACCTGCGCGTCCGTGGGCAAGATCACCCGGCTAGCGGCCACGTTCTCCAAGGACCAGTTCGCCGTGTTCGGCGGACAGTCCGACTTCCTGCTGGCGGGGCTGGCGGTCGGATCGGCCGGGTGCATTGCGGCCTTCGCGAACGTCTTCCCCAAGACCGCCGCGCGGGTCTACAAGCTGTATGTGGAGGGCAAGGTCGACGAGGCGTTGGCGTTGCAGCGGCAGGCGGCGTTGGCGGAGTCGCCGTGCAAGAGCGGCATCGCGTCCACCAAATACGCCACGGCCATCTTCTCGGCGGTGGCAGCGGGGATTGAGGGTGCGGAGGAGAAACTGAAGCCTCGCACCCCGTACGAGGAGCCTGCCCAGGGGGCTAAGGTTACAGTGCAGGAGGTGATGGGTAAGATGGCAGAGGTGGAGAAGGCACTGTAAGTAGATTATTAGAACAGGTGTACATATTTCCTAGAGTAAAAATACAGACGGCGCTCATATTTGGTCTTTTGCTTGCGTTGGGGCTCAATTGTAGACCATTACTGGCGGTGAAGGTGAAGGTGTCAGTCTAGCCAGGCAGGGTAAAAGTTGACCCAGCCTGGACAAGTCTGTGGATACCTTCTGGTTACAGTTCTTCTCGTTGAACCCCATACGTGCGCTTCTTGCAATCTTAATACACTGTCTAAGGGCCCAGGACCTGCAGCGATGGGTTTCCTCTCCACTTCAGCCCGATGGGTCCCATTGATGTCTCTACGCAATATCTTCGACAATGACGCTTGCTTCTACGACGGCAGTGACAGCAATTGCACTGTCGAATAACTCCTAGGATCAATGCGTACTTAAGTGCAGTATTGGTAGGCGTAAACAGTTCTCTCCGAGAATAACTCCTCAAAATGTAGAGCATAAAATCCAATCTTCGAGACTAGCTCCACGCGAGCGGAGCCCATCGCCCGTCGTTATCGTTCCTGCAACTACAGAAAGGTCATTGAACCTTAAAGCGTGATGGTTTGCGCCCAGTCGAGCCCATCCCTACTGCTAGATGTATATATCTATGTCATGACTGTCCCAGGCTATGGCAGCCCCGCTTCTCGATGGTGGGGTTGATTCAATTCCTCAAACTCAGGTCGCAGGCAGCTGATACGATGCAAGTAAGAAATCGAGGACAGTCTCTCAGCAAGAAATTGCCAGAATAGGACCCCTTTTCCGGATTCTATCCCTGGGAGAAGTTGAATTGAACGTTATGGAAAAAAAGGTGGGCTGAGCATCGGACCGGTATTAGCGCGGTTGCCTGGGCTGATCGGGTTGGAAGGATTTCTCGGATTGAGATGGGCCTTGTTCGATTATGAGAGATTCAAATGTGCCTGTACCGAGTAGATAGGATGTTCAGTGATCGTCCATTCTTGCAAGAGGCAGCTGTTCAGAAAGTTCTCAAGTTATTTTTTATGGATTGAGCAATCCATGATGATGGATGATGGATCAATGATCGATGATCAATGATGGATCGTTGGGAGGCTTGCCAAATATAGCCGAGACAGGGAGGCGACGGGGTTTGAATACACCGTTGTGACAGTAATTTAACCAATTCCGCCCCGTCCGCTCTGTCAGCGGAGCAAAATTACGTACTGTATTGAGAAAAATTGCCCCTTTGGGGTCGGCTTGCCGGAAGAGGCGTGGCCCGCGATCATACGACTGGGGACTGGCCTCCACCGAACATTGGCCGAGATTCTCAGTCAGTCAGTCAGTTCTTTCCATGCAATCCATGCATTCATCCATCCATCCAACACCCATTCTACTGCGCTCTGCTTGTCGTTGCATACTCAACTCTAACAGTCATGTGTCCTTCAAATTTGCCTCTCTATCTTCGATCACGATATCATTGATCTTTCTAGAACCTCGCCTCAAGTTGCCCCGAATCAACCTCGTTCCCCAGCAGTGATCGCCCGTCGTCTTTATCAATCAGTAAAACCAGGCACCAACTGAGGATCCGGTCAAATTTTTGTCCCACCGGGACCAAACTTCCTCGAACCACTCATCGCGCCTCAACCCGCTGCGCCCCTCCCTTTTCTCAACCGCTCGCTCGATAAGATCGAAGGAGAAGAAACGCCCCTGCACATGTTTAGACATTCACGGGGTTTCTGCTAGTCAGATCTTCATCCACCCTCACGCACCTTCCTGTCTCCTGCAACTTCCCGACGAACCTCTTCCCACCCTCCCCTCCCCCCCCCGGCGCTATCGTACTCAGTAGATTGCTGGATTTCACCCTCGACTGTCCCTACTGTCTTCAGTATACCATCACCATCACCGATTGTCCTTGGGTTACTCCACTGTTCGCAATCTAAGGTTGGTTAGCGCTGGCTTAACTTATTCGCCTTACGCGACTTCTTTCCGCACCAAGCCGGCTCCTGACCACACCCTTCTCAGGTATGCCCCTTCAAACAGTGTCAACATCCATGACCTCATCTTCGCCCATATCGTCGACTGTCCGTATCAGAAACTGACTCGAGTTCAGGCAATAGCTTGGAAGCCCCGCTCGCGGTTGAATATTGCCGTGCTTTGACTGACCACTTGCAATTCATGGTCCCGGCCCTGGCCGCTGGACAAGATGGCAATGCCCAGCATGGGGAGCGACTTCCAGCTCTTCTCCCCTAACACCAACAAGAGAAACTCCAGAGACTCACAAGCCGAGTCAATGTCTTTTGCCCCATCCTCCACCACGGACGAAGCCACTCAAGATTGGACACAATGGATGAGATGGGATGATCAAGGCTTCGCAGAGGGTGTCAAAGAGCTCTCCCAATCACCGTTCGATCTGGCCTTCACCTCACCAAACACATCAACCGGTAATCCAAGCACTGCCTTTTTCAACAAATCCGAATTCTCACCCGACATCTCTCTCGACTGCACGAACCTCCCGTTTGACTCCTTCTTCGATCGAGGGTACAACAGTATGACCAACTCCAAGGGCGACTCGAGTGGAGCCGAGATGCCATCTACGCTGTCGACTGCAGCGGGCTCACCATTATCCCCGGACGGAATCACCCGCAAACGCAAGTCAGGCAGTGACGACGACGGATCAACCGTGAGCGGCGTCGTGCCACCGGGCAAGAAAATGCCCGCTAAAAAACGAGCACACAACGTTATCGAAAAGCGATACCGAGCCAACCTCAACGAAAAGATCGCCGAATTGAGAGACAGCGTCCCCAGCCTGCGAGCCTCGAAAAATGCGGCCGGCAGCATCATCGATGATGACGAAGGCGAGGGTGTCACTCCTGCCAGCAAACTGAACAAGGCTTCCATCCTATCGAAGGCAACAGAGTATATTCGCCACCTGGAGATCCGCAACAAACGACTTGAAGAGGAAAACACAGCCCTCAAGAACCGACTTCGTCTAGCAGATAAGGCTGCGGAACAAATGATCACATCCACCGCTTCTGTCTCATCGCCCAGTAACTATACCGAGTCTGGGGCAAGTTCATCCCCGAGTGTGTTTTCACAGGTTGAAGATTCGCCGAGTGATCACTCTCCCACAACGCTGCATCCCCCCGAGGGGTTGATGAAGGTACCAGATGCCTTCCAGCGCCTTCGAGACGAAGCAGCTGCCAAAAACAGCGCCTTCTCCCAGTCCTACATGCAATATCCCAGCAGCAACGGCAACAGCAACGGCAACAGCAACGGCAACAGCAACGGCAATAGGCCCACCCAGGGTGGCGGAGGTCGCAGCCGCTCCTACTACCCCAACAAATACATGCTCGGCGCTCTTGCTGGTCTGATGGTTCTTGAGGGTATGGGTAGCGACAAAGAGACCGATTCCACCGCCAAGGGACTGCTGGCGCTTCCCGTCAATTTGTTGAACAGCCTGCAAAATCCGGCCGTCAAGTACTGGATGGCAATGGCTCGCAGCTTTTGGTACTCGTGGCACGCAAGGGCCATCTCGCACTTCCTTATCCTCGCAACTCTGGTCGTTGGTAGTGCCTTTGTGGTGTTTGTCTACCTCTTCAATGCCGGGCCCAAAAGTCAACCAGGCTCATCCAAGACTGCATTCATGTCCGATGCAACGCTATCGTCATCGAACTTCCGCCGTCAAGCGTGGTTAACGAGCATCCAGCAAGTCGGTGTGCCGCGTCATCGGTTCTTCCATGAGTGGTACGTGGTCACCTCGCGCTGCTTCGAGTATGTGCTGCGCTGTCTTCTGGGCTGGAAACTCTACTCTTCCATCACCGGGGTTACCGTGGAGGACGACAAGGGCCGCGTGAAGTCATGGGATATCGCCATCGATGCGCAACTGGCTGGGGGAGATCCCGAAATCAGCAAGAGTAGGTTAGTACTCACCATCTTCGCTGCAGGAACCCTGCCTCGCAGTCCGATGCGGATGATGCTCAAGGCGCTACATTGCCGCATCCTTCTGTGGCGAGTCGGTGTTCCCGGATCATGGACTTTCCACATCTCCAATGATGTCGCACGATCATTAGCCGGCTACCAGTGGGATCTTGCCCGCAAGATGCACGCAGCCATGCCAAAAGACCATCCAGAGGCCCTGCCAAGTCATTTGGCTGCCCTACTGCAGCTTGACTGTGATGAGGTCATGATCGACACTGTTGTCCAACGTGCGGCGAATCTTACATGGAACCGCCCTACGCAAGAGGGAGCCGACGATGACGAGGCCCTTCTGGATGTTGTGGAGGAAGATCCTGCGATTCGGTCCTCCCTCGACGCTCTTGCCGCCTGGTGGTCAAGCCACCTTTTGCAGCGAGCACTGCTCCGATACTTCGAGGCTAGCTCTGGAGGGCCCGATGCGAAGAAGAGCCGTGACTTGTTCAAAGCCAAGATCAAGATCGCTCTGGACGTTGCTCCCCAGCCATCTGCCGCTCATACCCGCGCTCTAGTCATGAAAGCGGTGTTTTTCGACCATGATCGTGCTACCAACATCGGAGCCGTCCTGGCAGCGCTGCCCAAGGACAAAGGAAAGAGCCAGCAGAGTCAAGTCTCCAACTTCCTAGATTCGTCACTTCCGGTCTCCGTGCGGGATGAGATCGCCATATCCGTCCGCTGTGCCATGATTGCGGCCATCTTCACGGCACGAACCACGGGTGACACCTCTCTCCCCGCATCCTTCACCATCCAGAAAGCGATCACATGGTTCAATCAGCTCCCACTCGATCCTGTCGATTTGACTCTAATTGGCTTTGCCTCGGTTTACCATCTGTTGCATGTTCTTGCTTCGGACACGGATTACTTGTCTTCTTCTGAATCATCCCCCTCCTCCCCCGCGTCCAGAAGCTCGACCCCATCCTCGCTCTGCTCCGATGACGAAGCTGACGACAAACCCCGCTTCTCCCCGAAGCCGGCAGTTTCGCCCCAGTCCATTCCCAACCTGGGCCGAGTCGCTTCTGAACTGATGTACTGGGCACGGAATGCCTACAACCCCGCATTCTACGGCTTTACTCCTCAGATTGTGAAGGTGATTGAAAATGAATGCACATCCTTATGCCATAGCGCCGGTGTCGA